AGTAGGACCAAATACTTGCCCCAGTCGAACCTCTTAAGAAAAGCATACAGCCTCGGGGCATACCCTTTGTTCCTTGTTTCTGCACACCGTATGTGCTCCCACCATCGCTCCCATGCACCTCGCACAGTCTGTCCTACGTACAACCTCTTACACCACGGTGACACCAGGCAGTACACTACCGGTCCACATAAATAAAAAAACTCATGTTCTTCAGAGCCCCAGGGATCTGCCCCACAAGTGTTAAAAGCAGGAACACAACGATGATCGCCTGCTCAATCGTGATTTTGAACCTGGTCATGCCATAGTTCCCCCAGAGTGCGTCTCTCGGCCCCATGAATGAAAGCATCCTGGCCCAGAGTTGCTTTGCTGGGGGTGGACACCGTCATTTTGCCGGTACTGCCGCTTCCACACCCGATGAGCCATCTTCTCTTTTGTTTCCTCCATTGTCTGCGCCATCTAACCATCCTTCGTACGCTAGCCTGGTTTCTAACGCCACTAGCTCCTTAACTGCCTGGTCCTTAACAATAAACTTAATGTTCTTACTCCTGCACATCTGCTTCAACTCTGGGACTTTCTTCGCTTGCAAGCTCTCCTTCAGATCAAGAACAAAGTCTATGACACCCGCTTTCGAACAAGATGTCACGACTCCTTTCTTCCGCTCTTCGTCATCTCTAGCAGGCGCTTTCCCTCGTGTCACTGTTGTTCTCTTCCTAGTCACCGGCGGGGTGATACAGCCTGTCTGGTCCGCTGGCTGCAACACTTCATCGTCCAACACCAATCTTCTCTTCAAACCAGGGGTAATCGCGGTCCGTGGTCCACGTCTCTCCTCAGGAGCGGAGTCCTCCATGTACCACTGCAGTTGACTATGCAAAACCACATCTCTCGGGTCTGGGGTCGGGAATCTGGCATCGATCGTCGACTATACATGCCCTTTAATCCGTTCTTCAAGTTGTTGCAACTGCCTACTGAATGCTTGGGCCGCTCTTGCATCTATCAGCTCTTCAGTCCGCCTCTGTTCTGTCTCTTCCCTTTGCTTAGCTTCATCAAGTTTCCTCTTCTCCTCTTCCAGGCGCTTATTTTTTAGCTCCGCTTTCCGTAACTCCTCCTTCTCCTGCTGCCGACTCTCGACAAAGGCGAACAATTTACTAATCCTATCGTCGGGGTCTTCCTTCCTCGGCCAGCTACCTGGGGTACGCCCTCCTCCATAAAGAGTGTTATGCCCGTACCCGCTGTTACCTGCAGGAGCTTGCATCTGGCTATTCTGCTGCTGCATCCCACCCCAAGCCCTCCCATACCTCTTGTTCGGGCAGTCTCTTGTGAAGTGCCTGTACTCACCACATGTGTAACACTCCTCACCTTGTGGCTTCAGCGGTAGAGCTAAGGCGGGTGCGGTCAGAGCGGGTGGAGGGGGTGGGGGTGGGGGT